CGGGGCCGGCAGCGGGACCGGGCCTGGATCCGCTGCGCGGGGCCGCCGTTGCTGCCGCGCGGGACGCGGCGCCCGTTTGAAACGCGCCGGCGTGGGGGGGAAGCACGTGCGGAGGGAGGGCCGGCGCTGCCTTCCGGGTCTGGGTTGCCCCTGTTTTCTCCTTTATTAAATTAAGAAATTAATAATATCTTCCCCCTTTTAATTCTTACCCACATTTCTTACCGCCGCAGGCATTTTCGGTGGTGAGCCCCGTCAGGGCAGGGGCTGTGGGGCCTGGTTTGCGCCGGGAACCACGGGCTCTGGGGAGGGATGGCGGAGGCGTCGTGATGCGGCCCAAGGCCGCTCCTCCACGAGGGCCCAGTGCGATTGCAGCGAGCTGGTCCGCACCGAAACAGCCCTGGTGCAGGGGGTGGTTGGTTTTGTTCAGTGCTGCGCAGACCCGTGTGGCAGGGACCACTTGTTTTCTTGTGACAGAGGTTCAGGAGTGTTGCAGGGAATTGGGGAAAGCCTGGAAAAGCTTTAGCAGTGGTTTAATTGTAAGGAATTCACAGTTACCTGTTCAGATTATCAGTGTTGCTTGTAATCTCCACATCCATGGTGGGGATAGCTGTATTGTGACAGGACTGAATGACTTCTCCATAGCTCTGTGCTGCTGCTTTAGAACCAGGCTAGCTTGGGTCGTGTTGGGCTTGCTGGCTTTGCTGGTGTGAATCCTTCTGCATGTTAGGAAGCTCCCATAGCATGAGGTCCATCAGAGCACTGTGAATGCACAGGACCAGCTCAGAAAATTCTCTTCCTGCAATGATAGGGAGGAGATGTCCAAGGGACGGAGCTGAGAAGCACCTGTGCGTGCTCTCTTGAATGTGAGCAATGAGCCTGACACCCCAAGAGCTAAGCTGGAACTGGGAGGCTGCTCAGAACTAAGCTAATTCCTTGCAAAGCTGTGAGGGGCTGTGCATTGATTCCTGCCTTTTCCCTCTTCCCTTTCCAAATAGCTCTTGCCCCACTAGATGATCTCAGCCACGTTTGACAGGGGACGAGTATATTAGAATAGTGTTACTGGGTCAGGCCTCAGTTGTTAAATTTAATATTTCAATAAATACTAAATGAGTGAGTCAAATCTGTTTAATATTTAATCTTAAATTCAACTTAGATTTATTATAATACTGATATAATGATATAATTCACACTTAAAGGACATACCATTTCCTATGTAGCACTTCACATGTTTCCTTTACCCAGCTTTACTTTGAATCTTTTTAACTAAGCATGACTGTAAACTGTTAGAGTAGCAGATGCTGGCAATTTTCTGTCTGAGTACAGAATGATGAAGTAGTGATAATTGTTTGCAAATGACTTAGTCCCAGGAGGAGGTACTCAATTTCGCCTCAGCACTAGTTCTGAGGTTTTTTTGATTGTCAAAAAATGATCTTGGAGCAAATTTCAGCTTACTGAAGATAATTACCTTTTCTAAATGATTCTCTTGAAGTTGCTTTAAAGTACTCATCAGGCCATTGTTTGAAAATAGCTTTAGTAGGTCATGGTGGCTACTTTATAGGCTGCTGTAATTTTACCCCAAACTATATTTGACATTGTTAATACTCCTGTCTTCAAAGCATTCTTGAGCAGCTGCTAGTGATAGTAAAATTTTATTTTCCATTTAATTATTCCCTTCTCTAATATACAATTTTTGACAAGAATGGAATTCTCACATTAATATTGAAGAAAATACTGTTAGCCTTCAGTGTCACCTCAGTTTTAACACTTATGAGATATTTTAATTATAGATGTTTAGACTCTTATTGTGCATCTTAATTTAACACGGAGTATAGTTGATTATCAGAAGTCTTACATTGTCAGAAGATGCCTCTAGTAGAGAACAAGACTAGTGGTAAACTGAGACTTTTATATTAAAAGAAAAAAAGGCATTGTTAAATCGGTTACTATCCCAGGGTTGCATGTGTCTTCTGTTGTAAACTAGCTACGTTCCCCTCATTAAAAATAACGCTCTGACTTTGTGCTAAAAATACATCAGAGGGCTCGAGTTGGCAAAGATGTGTGAGAATTGCCTAGTGTTTATCTCATCTGATTTCTTCAAAACCTCTGTTACTTATGATGGAAGATAGATACGTAGAGGCATGGGATTGCTGAACTATGCAAATCAGCCTTCTGATTAGTCTTCTCAAAGTCCAAGAGAGCAAAAAAAGACCTGGAGGAGATCAAGAAACAAAGAAAACTGCTTGAAAATATCTTGCTGGAAATACAAGATTGTTTTATTCAGACTTCTTCTGCGCTGCAGGTGGCTTCAGTGAGGAAGAACTTCTGAAAATATGGAAGGGGCTGTTCTATTGCATGTGGATGCAGGATAAACCTCTGCTGCAGGTAGTATTGGTTTGATATTTGCCTGAGTGAGTCTTTTCTAGACTGTATTGCAGGGACATAGTGAATTACGTTGATGAAAAAGACCTTAGTGAATCTCACTTTTTTTTTTTCCTGTCATTTGGATATGTGACTAATTCACTGATCCTCACACAGGAACAGAAGCCTAAACAGCCTGGTGTTTGAAGTCAGCCCTCCAGAGGAAGGGGGAGATGTTTACCTTCCAAAACCAGGCTGAAATGTGCATTGTTTTGCACATTGCTTTGGTGGAATGGAAGCATTCGCAGCGCACTGCCCTTTATTGTACCTGCAATTTATGCTCGGTCTTTAGTGAGCCACTTTCAAAGCTTTTTACTTTTCTTTTGTTAGTGCAGAGGGTTTTGTAGTGCTTCATTTCCTGATGACTTTTTGCTCCCTCTTCCAGTTTGTCACACTGCTTCAAAAGTTCCCAGTTCTGGAGACTTTTTTCCAAATCTTAGTACTCTCAGTTAGTTTTCAAATTTCTTGCCTGCTTCCATGAACAAGGTTATCTCATGCAAGACACAGGCTGCTAATCTTTTACATCATTTGTAAATTCAAGTACAGGTAGTTATTATCTCATAATTTACTTTTTTATTCTGCTAGCAAAAAAATGACTTGGGCAGAGATAAATGAATAGAGATTGATACCTTTGAATCATCTTTTCCATCTAACCTAATTCCAGTGGAAGGCTTGCTCCAGTACTAAAGCAACTGTTCAGAGAATAATTCTAACTTTAGTGGGTGTTACAACCAAAGCCATAAAGTACAAATATAAAGTATTTTTAGTGGGACCAAGCTCTGAAACATGCTATACTCACTATATTTATTTGTTTTTAGGAGGAACTAGCAAATAACATCTCACAGCTTATCCATGTTATTCAGAACTCAGAGGCTCGTAAGTACTGTTTGTTTTCTTTCTAAACATACTTTTATGGTTGGAGGTTTTGAGCCTCTCACACTGCCAGATATTTTTTCTTTGCTTTTTGTGAAACTAATACATGTGATTGCATTAAAGGAAGCATCCAAGCTCTGGTTCATTTGCAGTTTGTTTCTGTTTTTTGCAGGCAAGGGTTGCATCTCCGGTGTGATAATGCTTAGGCTTTGCAGAGTGGATAACAATGCACATCCCCTTGCTTTCCTGGTCTAGAACTAGATTCTCGGTCTATTTGTTCTGGCCACTTCCTACTCAAAACAACCTTGTTTTTGTAGGTGTTAAACTCGTAGGATTCAAACTGTTCTTCAGTTGTGGTGCTTAATTAATGTCAAAATTAGCATGGGTGACATCAATGTCAAACTGATGTGATGCTCTACTTTGTGCAGATGTAATACAAAATATATACAAAGTTCAGTTGGGGCGATTTGTGTTATTACAGCTGTCTGTGTAATAATACGTATATCCGAAGGTAGCAGTGTGCCTTGTATTATGTTGTTCTGAGGTTTAAATAACCTGTCCTTGCAACTGTCTCCAGCATGTCTTCCCACTGCAATAACCCAGTCCCTGGGTAAATAATTAGGAAAACGTGGCTGTTTTCCAGGTTGAAGGTTTCCTGCGATTCTTTCAGGTTAGCAAAAGCAGCTCTGTGCCAGGCATGCAGGTTAGGCCATGGCCTTTTCTTATTTTGATGTGGTTTTGGTTCTGTTGTAGAACACCTGTTCGTTCAGACTTTCTGGCAGACGATGAACCGTGAATGGGATGGGCTAGACGGTCTGCGCCTTGATAAGTACTATATGGTAATGCTGCCTTTTTTAAATAGAGCTTTTATAAATAATGGTGGTGGGCTGGAAGGCAAATTTGTCTGCACATATGTTTGTGTGTTGTAACAAAAGGCTTATCTTGAGACAGATTGCAAGCCATGTTTTTTTTAAAGTCTTTTCCCTCACCATTACAAATCTAAAATTCATTACAGTTTGTCATCCTGCGAGTGACTCTGTGTTTGTTTGTCTTGGTTCATACCATAGACTGCTTCTTATGGCTTTCCATAGGGAAGACTTGGAGAGGAAGCTGCTTTCATGCATAAGTACCCTTGCTGCATGCTAACGCTGTCATTGGGCACTGCATCATCATCAGTTATTTAGATCAGACTGTAGCAGGCTCTTTGAGAGCTCTGATATAAAGTATTTGTCAGCAGAACCGAATTCTCTACCAGTCAAGATAAGCTGTAGTACATTTGGCTAATAGAATTCTTTTTATAGCAAACACTGTTAAAAAAGGTAGTAAAACCCAGTGAGAGAAAACTCTTAGAAGACCTGCCTTTTTTAATAATAAAATCAAGTTAATCTTGTTCTTTAAAAGAAGTTAATTGCAGGTACATTCACTACTATGTTTTATTTCTGTGTATGGCTATCTCTTAGTGAAAGTTTCATCCCTTTTAGGCAAACAAATTATTTTTATCATCTGTTGGCTATTGCTGTTTCCAGTTTCTTTAAATTGTAATTTTTTGTAGATTTGTGAGCACTTGATGAAGAAAATTGGGTGATGAGGCTGGGAAAAGACAGTCATTGATTTTGCTTGACTTGGGATATGATAGTGGAACGCTGTCTTTTTAGCTTCACAGCATCCTTCTGCCTGATGTGACAGACAGGTCTGTCAAAACATTGATGTAAGAAAATTTTCCATCTTGTGCTATAAAGAGCTTCAGTAAGGAATATATTCGTATTACGGTCACAGTAACCCTTTTTCTGTTTTCATGAATGTTTAATAACAAATTTTGTATTTGCAGCTGATCCGTATGATTTTGAGGCAATCCTTCGAAGTGCTGAGAAGAAATGACTGGGAGGAAAGGTAAAAAGGCTTTCAAGTAACTGTGCCTTAAAGAAGCAGAGAATATATTTGATTCTTTATTGAATATATTTTAAATATCAAATATATTTGATATATCAAATAATATGTGTTTTTCTTCCATGAATGGTCCTGCTAGGAAGCCTTAACAGAAAGTTTTATTTGATATCTGGATCATCGCTTAGGCTGTCTAGTTGAAGAAGAAAGCAGATGTTAAACTTTATTAAATTAGATATACATTGCAATTAAATATACACTGCTCTTAGGTTCACCTAAGCAGTTAAGCTTGTATTTCACAGTAGGAATTCAAGAAAGCAATGTGTGCACAACTGGAGGTCTAGAGAACAGACGTCTCAGAGGGGTCTTATCAGTGTTTATAAGTATCTGATGTTAGGATGGCAAGAGGATGTGGCCAGGCTCTTTTTAGCACTGTCTATTAGTTTATTTGAACTACTGGGATGGATTTTGTACTCCTGGCTTAGCCTGCAGTACATTCTTTAATATAACTGTTTTGTTTTATGAGACAGTATAACATGCTTATAAACTCTACACAGTTGAAATGAGTTTGAGAAGGATCAATTTTATAGCTGAACTGCTGGGTATGTGCCAAAAAGCAACTAATCTTATAAAATGGGAGGGTGCCCATCAGTATGGATGGGGCACTTGACTCTTCAGGGATGCTCTGCTCAAATGGCAAAAGCCTTTTGCCTACCTGTCAACTATATGGCACAATCAGCTTAGTCCAAAATAAGGTGTGAATTTGAAAACTGTACAACTTTAATTTCACAAATTAATCATTTTGAGTGGCCTGTCTGGTGTTACAGTGCTAGACTATGGGGAATTCTGACTATTGTGTTTTTGTTTGTTTAATGTGAAAATTGGTTCTTGAATTTGTCTGAACTCCATCTTTACTTCTTATGGGTGGTAAACAGACATCTTAAAATACTGGTAAAACTGAGTAATTTGACTGTTTTTTAAAGCGAGCAGAGCCTGAGCAATTGATCTGAAAATGGTCTTTTTCTCTCTCTCACTCTCCAGTCTGACTGAATCATTCTTGCAACTGTTAATGAAAGAAGTTATGGACCCAGACAGCAATGCTCCCATTGGAATAAAGTTCCATTTCATTGATATTTACCTGGACGAATTGGCTAAAGTTGGTGCAAAGGAGGTTAGAAAGCACATTGTAATTCTCTTCCTGGTGTGAAATGTAGCATGCATCATTTTGAAGGAAAGAAGTCTTTATATCATGTATGTTTAACGATTTTAAATGTAATGAAGTGACTTACTACAGTTTGTGCTTTCACTTTTGTTCATCTGCTTTTTATGTGTGTCTTAACTAGGCAGTGAAAATATTATAATTCATAATTACAACTTAGAATTATTTTATAATATAATTTATAATATGATAAATTATTGTATGCTCACAACTAAGGTTGTGAACATGGGTATGCTGGTCGAGGTTAACGTAGGAAGTAGAAAAGTTTTACTGTTCTCACTTGCTTTAATAAGGTGCTCAGACCCTTTTTCCTTGACTGAATGTTTTTGACAGTCTTTGCTTTTGTGTTGGTTTTTGTTTGATTGTTTTCTTAAAAAATATATTTGTATAAAACTGATGTTGGGCATTTCTAAAACAGAGGAAGAAAGTGAGCTTACTGTGTTACTTCACATCAGTAAATGAAAGTTAACTTGCACAGTGGACATGTCTGAAGATTGAAGATCTCAGTGCAGTTCATCTTTCTCTGTTTTGGAATACTGTCTATTTCCATGAAATAGTTGCCTTTAATTCTGGCTGATCTTGCAGTGCTGCAGAGTTTGGCAGCAATTGCAATTCTGTTGCTGTAGCTGTCAGTGTTGTCACTTTTTTTTCCAGGGAGCATTTCGGTGCCACCCCACTAGAGTGAGCTGCCTGCTGCCCCACACGTACTTAGGTGCCAACTGCCAACACATCTCCTAGCAATTGAGGAAACGTCCAGCAGGAGCTGCTGGCAGTTTAGCATTTATATATATGCTTTGCAGTCATTACTGCAAGAAGTCCTGCCTCTGCAGCTTTTGTGGCTGTGGAGTGCGGGAGTAGAGATGCCTGCACAACAGAAGTGCCTGTTCCTGGAAACCTGATGGTTTCTGCAGCCCTGTAGTAATAGAAGTTTTATGCCCCAACGTAGCTACTGGGGGTGTTCTAGGTAATTCAGGACCCCTCAGCTGTTTTGAAATCTCAGTCGATGCTCATAAATTGAGCTTAGGAAAGGATCTTTAGTGCTACTGTAGTTGGTGGTGTTTTAGTCCAAGATTTACTAGCAGTGAGGGTGACAGAGCACTGGAACAGGCTGCCCACAGAGGTTGTGGAGTCTCTGTCTCTGGAGATCTCCAAGGCCCCCTTGGACACAGTCCTGTGCTACGTGTTCTGGGTGACCCTGCGTGTGCAGGGGGTTGGACTAGATGATTGCTAGAGGTCCTGTCCAACCTCAAGCATTTTACGACTCTATGGCAGGTTAAGAAAAAATCAGATCTTGGTGCTCTGGTGAAAGAGCACCATATTATTTAAGCTTTCGCTGCCTTGTTTTTCCATTTTCGAGATAAGTCTCATTAGATTTCTCTACTCAGGAAATTAAATTTTGGAAAACAGCGTTTTTGGAGTGCTCTTACAGAAGAGCTGGAAGGTGTAGTGAGAGTGATAAGCAGAAATCACTGGATACTTATGTAATTTGGAATGAGACAAATATTGACATAACTTCTTAGAAGGTGCCGTTATAACAAATCTACAGCAAAGGAATTTGAGTGGACCTGTAATATATATTGTATTAATTTTTTTTTTCTTTCTGATCATACAGCTCACAGCTGACCAGAATCTAAAGTTCATTGAACCTTTCTGCAAAATCGCTGCCAAATCAAAGGAGTAAGTTTAGTGTAAGGGTAAATATTCTTAAGAATTAAGAAGTTCTGCATATACCTCTCCACATGCTAATAAATGCATTGAACCAGAGCCATAGTACATCATCATAATATAGAGAAAGCAGGAGGTTCTAATTATTTGAATAATCATTTGAAGATAACTTTTGCTTATTAAAGCTGTAGATAAATGTTTTTGATTTATAGCAATCTTCTTAATCTCTGTTGGTTTGAGTTTTTTTTTTTTTTTTTAAACATGCATAGAAGTGTTTAGCTGGAGAGTGTCTCTGTTGTTGCAGCTGTAATTCAGAGCTGCCAATAAGCACAGTGGAACTTGAGGGGGATGTGGGCAGAACCACTGCTCAGCAGTGATTGTTTGGATTTAAAGGGCTGCTGTTCAGAAAGTAACACGTTCACTAGACGCTCTCCCCATTCCTTCCTTTCTTTCACACTTTTCTTACATCCCTGAAACATCCAATTTTTAAGTGTGGGTGAGTGGGTGGGGGGAATGACCCTTTCCCCTCTCATCCCTTTTCTCATGCGATGCAGTCACCGCCTGATGCACGCCATTGCCAACGGCATCTTTGAGATCATTGTGGATCAGTCACCCTATGCCATTGAGGACCTGATGAAAGAACTGAGTAGCTGCAGTGAGGAGGAAGATCTGTCTGAAGATGATGAGTGGGGAAATGAAGAGGTGCTTGCAGCCAAAGGTGAGGAGGAAGTGCTGGAAAATGAGCAGAGGCTTCTTAAATAGTCTTGTTTCTATTGGGCGGGATTCAAAAAGCTGTTCTGCTGTGAATCAGCCAAGCACGTTCTCAAGGTAGTGCAGGGACAAATATGTGTTTTTTTTTTTTTTCCCTCAGCTGTGCTTGGATAAAATGAGTTCATAAGACGATGTTACAAAAGTCATAGTGGTCTCTATAAAACCAGACAGTGTCCTCTGTTGCAGTGCCTGTATCAGCCTGGCTCCCAAATATTCAGGAATTTAAAAAACAAACAAAAAAACCTACACTTTTTTTGGCTTTCTGTTGAAGTAGAAAAATGGGCTGGATCAGAGGGTTGTGAATCCTGATGTAGCCTCACGTGGATGCAGTTATCTCAAATGCCCCCAGGTCATGCAGTTGTGTTTTGTATAATGGCCCTGAAGTCTTAGTGGCATAAATTAGCTAAGAGAGTCTAGCCTCAAAAGTGTGTAAAGAAAAATGCACCTGGTGTTCTGTCCATCAGAGAATAGTGCTATCTCTGTTCTTAAAAACTCTTTTTTTTTTTTTTTTTCTTATAGCAGACAAAAGTTTGTCAAGAAAATCAGCACAGAGCTCTGAAAATTCAGAGGATGTTTGTGAAAACGCTGATGACAGTATTGGGCCTGTTCTTCAGGTTTGTGGCTTCCTTTCTTTGGTAATGTTACTCTCTCTCTCCATTTTTTTCTGTTCATTTCATGAGGTACAGAAATAAAGGGTGCTAATCAGACAAGTAAGATAGATAACACAATGACATTTTAAACTCCTCCTGCCTCCATATGCAGTGGTGTTTTTGTCATATGTTCCCTGTAAGTAGTTTATAGGAAAATAACTCCCTGTCTAAATTCTGATTTCTTCCTTTGTCCCCCGTTCCTTTTTTTCCCCATCCATCCCTTTCTGTTTCAAGAATTCAGAAATGTGTGACAAAAGCCAAATCCTGCTGTTAGTGAGCCAGCAGTCAGCAATAGCTTTCTTGACAATAGCAACAAAAGCATCGGGTAATGGCATGTGTAGGAGAGGGGCAACACATTTTGGCTTGTGTCTTTTGGATCCCCTTAGAGCTCAGTGGAGTGTTTTTTGAAGGACCCACTGAGCAAATGCACATTCAAGTAGAGATGCTTCTTAGAGATCTTTCTCCTGTAGCATCTAAGGAAGAATTAGGTCATGATATAATTGAAATTTGGCATTTAGCTAAATATTTGGGGGATTTTTAATGGTGGTTAGCTTCTCTGTTGAATGAGAATTCAAGTTAGGAATGCTTTGGAAAGCGATACTGAATTCTGATGTTAAGTGAAGTGATCATCTGTAAATATCAGAATACATGTATGAAAAGGGTGTAAATTTTGGCAGAAAACAAGTATAGTGAGTTTGAAGAAAGTAGAATTAACAGAATCCATATGCTCCTTGATGCTTATAGTATTGGTTACATCACATTATCTTGCATGATAATCTAGGAAAAATCATATCATGCTTTCCTCCAACAGTTTGATTATAAAGCTGTTGCTGACAAGCTCTTTGAAATGGCGAGCAAGAAAAATACACCTGCCTTTAACAGAAAGCGCCTGTACAAGCTGGTCAAAAAGTGAGTTCTTTTGAAATACACTTTGCATGTGCTGGCTTGTCCTAAACAGCTTTGGCTTCGTTTTCTGCCCACCCTCTCTTGTCCTTGATAGTGCCAGGAAGTTTCTGAGAAGCTTTTGGCCCAGTTCCAGCTATTAACTGTCCAGTGTGTTTGCTTAAAAGTGAGCATTTCCTGTGAGAACAAGCTCTATCCTAATGTTTACAGATCTGATAGGAGTACCTGTTTTTTTCTGCGACATTCTGGAAAAAAATGGAATTTTAGGTTTGTTCTACATGCTGAAAAACATTTTGTCCTTTATCCTTACAAGTGTTTAAAAATAAACCAGCCTCTGTATCTTCAGCAAGCTGGATAGATGGTATCTCATGTTCCAACCCTACACTCTATTTGACACAGGTTGCAGGTATCGGAGATGTGTTGGACAGCTCTTCTCTCCAGAATGTTTCAGAGGGTTGGATTGAGCTTTTGATTTTTGGGGGGCAATCCTCTCCTGGAATGAGCTTCTTATAACTTCCTGTGTAAAACTTATTCCTATTTTTATAAAACTGTAAGTGTAGTGATGTTGTACTGCTAGTATTATAACTGATTCTAAAGCAGTAATGCTGTTTCGTGTTTTTTCCTTTTCTCCTGCCTTACCTCCAGGTTCCAGGACTTAGCAGAAGGTAAGAACTGAGCAAAATCTTTTCTGTTAAAGGATACCTAGTGCTCCCTGTGCAATGTGTATTGCAAACTTTGTGTTTCTTTGTTTTAAATTAGTTTTGAGGATATGGGGGGCTTTTTCTTCTGAACTTCATTAAGCCACATTTTGCACATTTTTGTGGGGATGGTCAGATTCCATCCATAGATAGCCTGTACTTTGTGCTTAAATGAGAGCAAAGTACTTTTACTCAAAGTAGGAATTATTTGTGATTCTGTAATTATTAATCTGTGATTCTGTAATTATTTGTGTTAGTTTCTACTGGTGAGTCTAGGGAGTTGTGCGATACGCGAACAGCAGCACAGAGAATACGATTTGTTTTCAGATATCTTCTTGCTCCTCAACAGGAATCTTCCCCCAAGATATTCCTGAAGATGTTTCTACAGACGAAGATGATGATACCTTCAGTAGGGGAAGACGAAAGAGGAAACCTGTCAATCCTTCAGAGAAAAACAAGTTAGAAAAAGTAAAAGGTAAGACAGGACCGATCTTTCAGGAGACAGTCTGCAACTGCTTGTGCAATTTGGCAGTCAGGTGTCAACCATTTTAAAGAAAGCATAGCCTGTTACTCAGGATGTGCTGCTTTGTGTCGTGCAGCAGTGAAGGTTAAATGTGAAATTAAGGTCTCTTTGGAAGTGGTGGGAGTCTTGTCACTAACTTTGAGGCAAGATAACCTCAGAAGTGGCAGTCAAAGGCAAAATTGGAAGCAGTTACAATTGTTATAGGTAAGCAGGAACTTGTCAGTCCTTGAGATAGTGTGACTTTTATAGGAATTTTATTATAGGAATTTGGGAGTGCTTCTGGAAAGGTGACTCAATGAAGTGTTACTGAGAGGCATGTGGAAGGGTATCTAGTATCAAGACTTTTACTGACATGTCACGAGCCCAGTCATACCCACAAAACTACTAAACTGTTGAGTTGTCCTGATTGCTTGAACAAGTTGCTAACAACAGCTTTTTGTAGCAGTATCACTGTACAAAAAAAGGCTACTACAGGGAATAGCTTAGATGTCAGCTGTGACAAGATCAGCAAAATATGAATTAGGTCAAGGTTTAGGGGGGAATTAAAAGTTTTTAGCTGCAGTGATAAAATATTTGCACTGGCTGATAGTGGGAAAATGGTATAACTATTAAAAAAAAAAAAGAAACCTCAATTGCTACAAGTCTTTCATGTGTGTCTTATGTGGTGTTCTTTTTGGGGTGGGTTCAGAGAAGGAAGAACAAGAGACTTCAAGTGAAAAGGAGTCAGTTCCCCAGAAGAAGAGGAAAAAAAGGAAGAGGAGGGATGGTCCAAGTGCTGATTTTAGCACAGCTGATGGAAATCGTGAGGTGGGGATAACTGAAACATCTGGATCTAATGTCTCCAACCAAGGAAAGATGCCAGAAAATAACAAGAAAAGGAAGAAAAAGAAGTTCCTAGTAAATGAGGCAAATGAGACCAGAAACATAGCAACCGAGACCAGAGGTGACCACAGTATCTCCTTGCAGGAAGGTCCGACTGACCCAGAGCAGAATAAAAAGATTCAGCTGAAGAAAATGAGTGCAAAAGAGCAGAATGTTCCTGCAAAGCCAAAGGGTCAGAATGGACCAGCTAGTGCCGGCGAGGCAGAGGACGTGAGCCCGTCTTTCACACCCTTGGCTCCCAAGGTTGTAAAAAATAAACAGAAAACAGGGACTGTCTTAATGAACGGTGATGTCCTGCTGCAGCAGAGTGACGTGAAACCTGACAAGGAGAGGTTGTTGGGGACCCTGCCGAGAGATGCAGGCACTGAATCTGCACCTTCCAGGAAGATCAAATTGAAGAACAAACTCAAGCTAGGTGGTTTGGAAGGAAGTAAGGTCTCCAGCCAGAAAGCAGTAACCTTGAAAAAGAAGAGGAAAGTAGAAGTGCTAAGCTCTGTTGAAGCCAATGGAAATCTTGAGATTGCATGCAAGAAAAGCCGGAAGGTGGTAAGTAGAGATATCAGATTTTTTTCTGTTTTCCTTATAATCTGCCAGGTCAGTTTTTCAAATGTGACTTTAGCTTTGTGATTATGGGGCTTCCTGAGCTGGTTTTGTGCTCATGTTATCCTGCACTGTTTGTGCCCAAACCCCCTCGTGCATGTGGCAGCTGCTTAGCCAAAATCTAGGTGAAATCATCATGGCTAGGGTGTGGATTTTATTTTATTTTATTTTATTTTCCCTGGATTAGTTTTTCACTGTATGCTCACAAGGCGTGTGATGCAGAGATGGGAGTGGGAAGGTGGACATCAGTTGTTTCTTTTCAGCAGCGATACAGACGTAGATTAGTATACGTGCCTTGTGAAACTACCCCCTGCAATTTAAATAGTGTAAAGATATGCTATCTTTTACAAATGGTCCAAATTCTTAGAAAGACAACACTTACGTCTCGAAGTTTGGGAGGAAGCTATGATTTTCCTCCATCTGCCTCCCGTAGCCATTTTCTCTTGGCAATGAGGAACAGCAGCTTGGTTTTGCTCAGCAATTTGTGCACTGGAAACCATTTTGCACAATGTATTTTGGTACCATGGTTGAGAGAGAAAGCAGGGGCTCTTCCCTCTCCAGCCACTGAAATTTTTTTAATTGTACATTTTCAGTGTATATATTTACTGCAATGTGTTTAGGGAATCAGTAGTTCTTGGAACTCTTGCTGACGTTCTTGTATTGGAGGAAAGAAATTTCATAAACCATAAATGAAGTGGTCAATCTTTCTTTGACTGAAAAAACACATAACAAAAATACATGGCTGTAAGCAGCCAGTCCACTCATCTCTGCTTAACTTAGGTTTTAAACGGCATGACTAGTTAAGTAGTGCAGGCTCTTTCATAGAATCTGTTTTACTGAGTCTGTTGGTGAGTCTGTTTTATTGAACATCTTCCAAGGATGAAAAGTGCATTTTGAAACATTGCTCAGTGATATCAAAATAAGTTTGTCATTTCCTAGTTTTTGAGGATAAAACACGTCGAGGGAGAAACCCAAAATCCAGTAGACAAATAGCCTTTTTCTCACTGCAGAGCTTCCAAAATGTGAAGTGTTAGCTTTGCCTCCTGTTGCCCAAATATCCCATGTTGTAATTCTCTTGTTTATTTATCTCTAAAAGCTCAGTTTCTAAGAAATCATGACTCTGCCACCCCCATTCCAGCTTGGACTGGTTGGCCAGTTGCAGCCAAGGCTGACAAGGGTCTATGGGAGATTCGGGATGGAGTTGCTGCCAGCTTTGCAGCAAGTCTGTTCCCAGCAGAAACGAGCACAGTCAGTGAGGGAAGGGCTGCTGCAGGAGCCAGCAGTTGCCTGGCCAGCAGCACGTGGGCTAGTGCGGTTTCTAAGCCTCTAACTTGTCTCTAAGTGCAGCTTCAAAGCCATTGCAGCATTTGCTGAGGGCAGGTAGCGCTCTCTGCGCGTGCATGTCTGTGTATGCGTGTAGACACACAGAGAGATGGAGAAAAAGTTGGAAGTTACTGAGTCAGCATGGAAATGAGAATATTAATGTAAGGAAGAATGAGCAGGATAGAGGTTAAAACGTACAAACTTAGGTAGGCTTTCCTGATTTTCTTATTGCTTGAGAAACAATACATTTGTCTTGTTTCCTGATTTTTAGTTATGTACTGTTGGTCTCTGCTGTCCAGAACACAATGGGGTGTGTTTGAATTCTGGAATTCACAAGACAACCCACCCACACAGAGAATTAGCTTCAAATGTTGAAGAGGAGGAAAAATCAGACGAGTTCAGCATTATTTCACATTTGCATCCAGAATTCAAGCTGTGCTAAGGAAGCCAAGAGTCTCATGCTTTATTTAAAGCTAAAGCGATTTTTTAAAGAGAAAAGATTAGTATGCCTTGGACATTTTCCATAGCATGGCTGCAAGCTGCCTTAGGAATCTCTCATCTGCAGATTGCTGTGCAGGGTGGATGAGCCTCCCTTCACACTGCAGACACCCGAGGGCCCGTAGGGCACAGGAGGAGGCAGGCAGGAGAAGCTCTGGAGCAGCAGTTTGTTACCTGCCCTGCCGGTGCGGGTCTCGCGCTGGGGAAGAGAGTTGCATTCAGTGACACGACCTGCATGGCCCTGAGGAGAGGGCAGCGAAGCGGCAGCGCTGCCCGTTAGCTTGTTTCCTGGGTGCCCACAGAGCGCGTCTCCCGCACAGCTTTGTGAAAGTCTCCTTCCCAGGCTGAAGCTGGGCTTGTTCACCGGGCCTCATCCATGCTGGAGAGACCAGCACATGCATGCAGGAGAGCTGGGATGATAGTAAGGCAGCCTCATGTGCATGAAGAAAACAGTTCTTTGCCCTGTTGATTGGCCGTATAAATGTTTACAGGCTCCTTGTTCCTTGCTTTTGATGGCCTTCCTATTCCAGCACAGGGGTAAATGTGCTGGGATAGGAAGAAACATGACTGAAACCACAAATTTATTCTAACAGCAAAATTAATTCCTAAGACTTTACCGTGGAGGTTAGCCCTTGTGAATACCAGCTAGTGCTCAGCTGTGATGAAGCCTTTGATAGTAGGCTCTGAGCCTCAGTCATTTACTAGCTTCTGTGCTTTGTACTGAGAAGACTTCCTTCCTTCCCTTGCAGGAAACCAGCCCTGCTCTATCGCTGATAAAGAAAAAGAAAGTGAAAACAGGGAGTGACTTCATGAAATTTGAGAAATCGACTTTACCAAAGCCAGCGTTCTTCAGGAAAGCCAAAGGCACCATCTCCTCCAGCCTGACCTCCCTGCAGGTAGCGTGATCCCACAAACAGCAGCCAGAAGCTCTACCTGGGGCTGAGCGTGGCTGCTCCAACCCCTTCTCTGCCGCATCCGAGTGCAGGGCCTCGCTCCTGCTCTCTTCCTCACTCTGTGCTAGTCACCTAACAGATAAAGCTGGAAACGGCCTTGCACTTCTTTGTGAACGGTCACGCGTGGCATCAGTGTCTTGTGAAAATAATCTGGAGATGTCTTTAAAATTCCTTTTCCCCGTCTCCTTTTAAAAATACTTTCCCGTTGAAAGGACACCATTCTGAAACTGCTCTTTCCACAAAATAAATAAATAAAAAGATTTTTTCCACTCCTGCTAAGAGACTTTGAGCTTCTATCTCTTCCCCTTTGTGGAGACTACTAACAGTGTAGGGCTTCCAAAGGCTGCCTCCTTTTCCTAAACCTTCCTAACATATAATACCCTTTCAAACCCCCTTTGCGCTTTGAGGTGCGAGTGCAGTGGAGCCCACTAATACCTTCTTGTGTGTCAAACTACGAACTGATCTTAGGGAGAGTATGTGATTTGTCTACAAATGGAATGTGGGATTTTTTGACTAGAAAGACAGTGTTGCTGCTGCCTTTCCTTCTGAGGGCCCAATATGTCAGCACAGAGGGCTGGAAAGGGGGAGGTCTAAATCAAGTGGAGAAAGTTGGAGTGTTTTACATCGCTTTTGTTGGGGTGCAGGTAAACAAACTAGTAGCATTGCTGCAGAAATCTAACTTTCTTTGCTGTCATTATTTTGCTTCACAGTTGAATGAGCTGCAATCATCTGGCTCCAAAAAAGTCACCTTTGGCTTGAATAAAAACATGACTGCGGGTGAGTCTGACACATCTGCCTGTCTTTGCACCCTCGTAGCGAGAGGAAGGGGGAGGTGAATACACCCCCACACATGTACTCGCTGTCTGTCTAAAACAGAATCATTCGGATCACGTTGTTTGTGTATAGTGTAGAGACCTACACCCCCACACATGTACTCGCCGTCTGTCTAAAACAGAATCATTCAGATCCCTTTTTGTCACGTTGTTTGTGTATAGTGTAGAGACCATCCACAGGGTGTAGTCTGGGGGAGATGCTGAGATTTACGACATGCCTCCCCAAAACCAGATGTGCGTGACTGCAAAGCCCTGTGTTGCTGACTCACAGGTGGAGCCTTACGGCTGTCACTCGTGCAGTGTGCTCGCAGGCTCCCCATCCTGAGCCTCTCGTCCTGCAGGGTGCCTTTTGGAGGAACACGCGCACGTCACGTTTTTCATGGCTCCGTTCCCTTTCCCAGCACAGAGGTGCTGATGTGACCATAGTCTCAGACTGCATCACAGTGAAAGTCCAGTTTTATCTGGACTGCCTCTGATTTATGATAGTGATGCATAAATAAATGTCAGTCCCATTCTGGATCCCACATGTACACACAGTGTTATCACATAGTGATAAATCCCTGATAAAACCCTGGTGCTATGGAGCAAGAGACTTTTTTTACTTTTTATTTATGTATTTTTTTTCCTCCTGAGTTGTGCCGTAGGCCATATTCAAACAAACAGTAGTCGGTTTTTGATATATGTGTATATATTTATGTTAACGTAATACATATAAAGAGAACAAAAGCACTTCCATGCCAGCAGTGGTGATAACCATGAGTTTCTAGAACTGAGCAGTTTTAACAGTAAAAGGAGAGCTTCTTCTCATCCGGCATGTCCTTTCAAAGGAAAGCATGATGCTGATGAGGATAGCTACAACATTTGGTTCTGAGGAGCTGGCCAGGAGTCTCTAGGGGTCTCTGAGGACTTGGGGGTTAGTTCACAGCTTTCTGGCTTGCAGCAGACCCCCCTTCTCAATGGGGCTCTGCTGAAAGATTCTTTTTACCACTCCATGTCCATTTTTTTTTTCCTCAGTGTTTTAGGTGTCTGCTCTTGAGTGATGGACTCAAGGATGCAAGGCAGATTTTCTGGGTTGGGCAATTCCACCATTCTTTGAGGGGCCAAATTATTCCAGAAATAGTATTTCTTTAACTTGTTTGCTTGTTCTTCAACAGAATTTAAAAAGACTGACAAAAGTATCTTAGTGAGCCCTGAAGGACCCTCCCGTGTGGCTTTCAATCCTGAACAGAAACCCCGTCATGGGGTCCTGAAGTCGCCCGCAGGCTCCCCAGCAGGAGAGCCTCAAAAGAAGAAACTCTTTGCTCTACCAGCTAAGAAGAGACCTACTGCTATGGACTTCTTTTAAATCAACAGAAGTGGCCTACTTTTGTACAGGACATTTCACTAACCTAGAATATTCTTTGGAGGTATTTTGAATTTTTTTATTTTTTTAAGTTAATATGAATTGTATATACAAGGTTCTGATTGTGGCCTGGTACACTGCTATTTTGACACCACTTCAGCTGTGTCTTGAAATACTTTTGTTTTGTCCTTTTTTTTTTAAAAAAAAAAAAAAAGGACAAAAGAAAATAAACATAATCCAGTCTCTGCTCAGGTTTGGTCCACAAAAGGTATAGTCTCTGTCCATGTCATTCTCAAGACTTGTTTGTTTAATTAAAGCGTTTTCAGGGTTAGATTGTTCTGGAGATTTCTCTCTCTTTTCAGTCAGTTAATGAAAACTTTAACTTCATGCTATTCAACCCTCTTTCATGGAATGGATATTAAAAGAAGACAATGTAAGACAACCTACAAGTTGTTCATGTATTTAAAAATTTTATCCCATCTCTTTTCCCATGTCACCTTTGACATCCTGCTTATTCTTCTGAAAATAATAGTTACCTGATGTCTCAGCTGAAAGACAGCTGAACTTGGGTAGTTCTAGAGATAGTAAGGAACCATTTCCTGGGCTGAGAAGTGCCTGGTTGCTTGGGTACCTACTGGTACAAATAAGCCTGCATAGTTGGTTGCCTGCTGGTTGGGAACACACACAGACCACTTTTTTTTATTAGCAGCGCAAGTGCCAAAGCTGACTTACAGTTGTCGTAATGTAAGCTGGCTTCTGCTCTCTACAGTAGCTGAAGTTGTGTTCTCACATGGAGAAATCTTTGATATTTCCTGCAGGTCTTTTGTGCCTGCCCTGTCCTCCTTGCTGATTTTTACTAAAAATCTTGCGAGAAACCTTTTTTTCCTTCTTTTGCAGCTGGTGTCACCACATTTTACCAGAGCTCAGATCTCGTTCACTGGATAAAAAGTCAAGTCAGCTAGATGAGTGTAGTACAACTTTGGTTAGGATATGCATCTCTTAAGTTTTCAGTGTGTATCAATGCAGGGTAAAACTTTACAGCCCAAACAGCTTGGTTTTGTTTTTGATGTAAAACCAGAATAATTTGCTGTAACATTTCCTTGTATTAAGTTTTTATTTGGATATTTTATTACTGCTATGCATGGTTTGCTTTTTTCTTTGCTGCTTTGGTAAAGAATGAGATGTACTTCTGCAGCAGACCATTACTGTATTCTGAGGGGGAACTGTGGAGAAGCGGAGAGCAAATGGAAGCAAGATTATTTTCTGTTACAGTTTAGTAAGTGTTTAAGCCTTGCTTATGCCAATGACAAATTGGCTTTGCAGCAGCTCTCTGCATTAGAGCTCAGCCTCAAAGCACGACCTGGTTTGAGAACAAAACTGTTCATGGAGCTTCCCACCGGTTATTTCTGGGATCCTGTAGAAAGCAGTAGGCCTCTCACTTTCTTCTCTTATGATATCGAGTAAATATTTAACTACTTCATTCAGCAGCGTTAAAGTCTGTAACATGTTGATATAGTTAGGTATTATTTTTGCCACTTCGTCTACTACCTGGTGCCAAGTAGCTCCCCATCAGCAGCTGCTCGTGGCCGTCGCAGTTCACGTAGGTCTGCAGGGCACTTGGTGCTCGCAGCTCGCTGACCGCTCTCACCTGCTCACTGCTAGTCCGTGGCGGCTGAGCTCCTGGCAGTACATGGCTTTAAAAATCATTGCACCGTTGTTATCCCACATTCAGAATGAAGGAATGGATTTCACTAGGTTTTGTTTCTGTTTGTATTGATTCGGTCAATCAGTAAAGAACTCTGGAGAATACAGCTGAAAAAAAGGAGCGGTATTTGCTCTGAGCAATTATTGTTATCTTAAAAGAACTTGTAAATTTTCACTTTTTTGACAAGAAAATGATGAGTAGGATTTGATGAGGACTGTTCAATATATTGTGCTGTTTATCTTGTATTGTGGGTAAGAAGTTTCTTGTGAAATACGCATCAGAGCGCTCGTACGCGCATGCCTTTGATGCATGATGTTGAAGAAGCAGCATTCCCCAAGGATAGCAATGCAGACTGCCAGCAGAAGCATCTGGGGTGCATAGAGAAGTCCAGGATCAGGATAATTTGGGGTTGGTTTGGGGGGGGGGGGGGTGTTTGTTGCTATTTCTTCCTTTTTTTAATAACCTAGAAATACACTTAAATGGCCATGTGGATCTTTTTCTATTGGTTGTGGATCCTTTGACCTATTGCTCAGCCAGATATTTTTGTCCCCCACCGTAGTAAGGCAGAAAAGGCAGTCGGTGCTTACCTCCAGCTCCAGGGATGCGGTGGCTCCTTGGGATTCCGTCGTGCCTTGCGGCTGGTGGGACACGTTGTAGATGCTCCTCGTGAGCTGCCTGCAGTGGCTCTGGGATTTCCTGCAGGGCAACATTAAAAACAAACTTAACCCTGTCTGGGCAGTTTAATCTGCATGGTTGGGTTAAATTGAGTCAATGGCCCAGAACTTTTGGGTAGTGGAAATTCCCATAAACGTGGAAGACAAAAAAAGAAGAAATAAATGCAACATCTGGGATATGGGATAGCTAGTGCACAGACACCATGGTACTGTAGGGGAAGAAGTATCTATAGAGGGGAGGGAAAAAAAAGAAAAGAAAATTCATCTGGTTTTATGTCACTTTTTTTTTTTTTCATAATTTTATTCCAACCCTGTAGCTGCCGGTCATGTTCAGAGTTAATTTAAGAGTGGCATTGATGTGGCATACCTTTGAAGGACAGTCTTTTCTATGGGTGTCTCTACATTTTTTGTTATGAATCTGCTCAACTTTGTACTTCTCGAGCTCTAATAGTTTATATTTCTTTATAGCTTCAACAGAACTCAAAAGCACAAAATAATTTCCTAATAAGGAAAAAGGTTAAAATTATATTTAAAAATAAAGGGTATACAAAATCTTTTATAATCTATCAAAGCTTTGTGACTTGGAAAGTATCAACTGCCTTTTTTTGTGTGTGTGTGTGTCTTTTATTTTCTGTGTTTAATTACAGGCTGAAAAAGAAAATCCGTGTGGTATTTCATGTACATCTGCAACAGCATTGTTAATACAAAAATGACATCTAAACATTAGGTTTAGTCTACTCAATAAACTATCTTCTTTGTGGACATTGTATTTTGAGTAAACTTGTATATTGGAGGGGTGCAAATGGAAGAGGCGTGTTCTGGGGCATTCTTGAAGGTCCAAAGAGTGTTGTTCTTGTATGTTCTTACTGCACTTTTTCATTATTATTTTGTTACATAATAAACCCAAACTGATAAAGACTCCAACGCATTAGAAGGGCTGTGGCAGGATGCCCTCGTTCACGCACCTTGAGCTCCTGACCCTCGTATCACAGGGGCCCCAGAGCGGCTATTGGCAATGGACAGATTGCTCAAGAGCGAAGGGAGCAGCTCAAGGGCTCTGACTCCACAGCAGTTACACCTGAATGTGGATGTGCCGTAGAGGGGAAAGGCTGCCCCAAAGCTCTAACTGCAGTCGCCAAAGTAGATCAGAGATGGGCGCTCGCTGCAGGCTCCTTGCGTGCCCCGTAGCACCCAAACACCAGCCGAGAGCAGGAATCTCGGGGAGGCGCCTGCACCTCGGCTATGCTGGGCCCTGCCACTCCGGCAAAGTGAATCGTGTTTTCTTCTGCCAGACACAGAACTTCCAGAAACATGAGGGTTTTTTTTTCAGGAAAAAAGAGACCTGTCCACAGCGAGGGCACTAGCCAAACTTAAATATGAATCCCTCAGGTAGTATTGAGAGAGATTTCTATCTGAAAGATAAGATCCCGTAAAGGTGGTAGGCAGGTTACTGGACTAGGCTCAGGTATGTTTAGGGATACCTCAGTTTTTAGGTGGTGAAGACCACAGTGACAGAACTAGCCCCCCCCATGCCTTGTCTCGCGCACAGTGTCAGGTGCAATGCGTAGTGCGAGGTACAACCTGCCTCAGCGCGGTGCTCCCGCCGTGGGCAGCACGGGAGGATGTCAGGCACGGGGACTCGGGGCAGCTCCTACCCCTGCGCTCAGCGCGAGCCCCACAGCAGCCGCGCGATGCGCACGGGTCTCCAAGGGAGCCTCGAGCGGGGTTGGAGCTGGACGGGCACCTCCGTGGCCCGCACTGGCTGCGGCTTCGAGAAGGCAGAGAGCAGCCGTCCTCGCGCTGCTCTGCACAGTGGCACCAGCTCGGTTTGCCTTTCCTTCCCACCGCTCTGGTCCAAGAGATGCAATTACTTTGTCAAGAGCGACGTAATACCTCGCAGAAAGAAGCTGAACTGTAGGAACTGTTGTCCCTGTGGCAAAATGTCTTAAAAAAAAAACAACAACAAAAGAAAAAACATGGATTTTGTTAACTTCACTGTAAGACTACAACTGATGTCAAGATATTTTGGGCAGAGGATACATTCGTTAACATCGTTCTGTTACTCGTGAAATGTTTTCAGCATGTTTGATCAGTCTGCTGTGGTCAAACATATCTAACGGTTTCTTTCCAGATAAGAGCAATGTTAATGAGAATTTTTATTGAGTGAAAAATTGCTCTTGAGGGAAGAGGTTGGCATCTTTCAGGAGCTGGAAGAATATTTTCCCTCTTATCTGTGAAATAAAAAGACTTTGGAGATGCATATTCTCTACTACAGGGCTCAAACTCAAGCATTCTGTATGCATAAAAGCATACGCATGATTAAAAAATGATTTATTCTGCAAAAATGTTGCAGCTTGTTGCATACTCTACTTTTATTGTAAACAAAATTCAAGGGGAGTGGGCAAAAATATTTTAAGACCATTTTGTGCAGTGCTTAATATAGTTACTTTATTGTCATCACTTTCTATTAGGCACTGGAGAGAAATCCTTAGTTCTTAAAGAAACCTTATTTTGAAAGTTTAAAAAACTTCCCAAGCCAGTTTGCAGGCCCCATTCACATGAATTTTCCTTTGGAATATGAATTATTTTACAGGAATGGATTTTCCAGCAAAGATGCAGCCCTCCCTGTTCTGCAGACATGACTGCCCGTTGCTGCTGGAGGCAGCCTGCTGCCTGCAGCCCCTGCAGCAGGGGAAAACACCGGAATGCCCAAGGGGGGGGTTGGGAAAGTCTTTCCCACACAAGAGGCGTTTTCGTTTTTGGAATATCATAGTGTTTTGGCATCAACATCGGCAGATAGCAGCCAATTTCAGAGCTGTAAAAGAATTAATCTCCGGTGGCTTCAGCATGAGCTTTTCAGGACATTTCACGCACGCAAACCATGCAACACGGTGTCATCGCACGGTCCTTGAGCTAGGCTCTTCCCTAGGTTCATTTCTTTGTCACGTGTTCGGCTTCCACAATGGAAGTAAAGCTGTGGGCGACTCGAGTCGAGCTTGCCCTGTGCTTTGAGCTGGGCGAGGATGCTGCGGCCCCCGCGCCGTCTCTCGCTGGCCCTCCCGCAGCCGCCGTGGCTGGAGACTCGCAGTACCTTGTGTGGTCCTTGGTCCGGCCTTCAGAGGCTGCCCACGGGGCTGAGCAGATAGGGAAGGTAGCGCTCGGCACAGGTTTGCATGCACGGTCAACGACAAAAAGAGAATTACAGTGGAGGGGGAAAAGATTGAAAATAGATTTTAAGATTTTCTTAATGCTAAAAAAATAAGTTTTCCAAGTCCAATAGGATTTCTGGATGTATAATTTCCTCGATTTTCTTCCTGGTGGAAGCCTTAGTTTAAGAATTACAGTGGAAGGAGAAAAGGTTTAAAATAGATTTCAAGATGTTCTTAATGCTAAAAAAATAAGACTTCCAAGTCCAATAGGATTTCTGGATGCATCATTTCCTTGAATTTCTTTCCAGAAATTTTCTTCCTGGTGGAAGCCTTAGTTTTATCAGTGCTTAGCTGGTCTCCAGTTTGGACCACCACTTTGTGCTCCTGCGTAGGGCAGTGCCCCAAGGCTGCGACGGCTCCTGTTTCTACCAGGTAGGGCATATGAGGAGGGAATCCCTGTGTTACACACTGCGTCTTTGACACAGAGCCGTGAAAAATGCCGGCAGTCAGGTTCTCCAGGAAAAGGATCTCCGCGTTCTTAATTTAAAGAGCAGGTCTGCTTCCAGCCTGGAGTCTCCTTTCCATTAGCTTCACTGCTATGGCAGAACAGGGAGACATTTGCCGTAAAATGCTGAAACTCTAAAAGCTGCTGTAATGCCCTGCTTGCCTCTGCAGAGAGTCACCAAGGAGCAGTTTCATCTCGGAAAGAAAATCCTCGAGTCTCTGTGTCATTAATCCCTGCGGGAGGAAGGACGGGATTCACAGATGAGGCCTGTGCTAGTTCCAGATAAGCTGTCAGGAGGGAGATGCGGAAAGCTCCCTATCTGTCCTGCTTCGGGACCCACTCCGGAATCCTGTAAGGCAAGAGGCTTAAGAAATTGGCGCTTGTTTCTCTCACTGTAAAACTTGCCTGAACTCTGGGTGCCAGCTTGCCAAAAGGCAGGAGGTAGCGTGTCCCCTGCTGCCCTCGTGAGCTTTAGAGCTCAGTGGATGCACTGCTCGGGGCTCAGGAGAACCTTTAATCCAAGTGAAGAGAGCAAGATTCAAAGGAAAGCAATCCAATCCCGGGCGCAGGAATCTGCATCCGCCCGGGGGCATGTGTAGGGCTTGCTTATGGTACAAGTTCGCTGACGATGCCCAGGCAGCCAAGGGCAGTGCGGTTAAACTGCCAAGGACAGTGATGCGACAGGCTGCTGATGCGGGTGCCAGGAGCAGAAAGCAACTCCCAGTCTTCTCCCGTTCATGTCATCTGCATCTTTCTGTGTCGGGTTATCTTGTTTAGTTATAGAGGCTTTTGTCCTGGTGAAAAATCCGGAACATCTGCCTGATGTTCTTCACTGTGGTGGTGTTCTGCTTTTTTGAAGCTCTCTCTCCTCCTGTCCCAGGATATTAAATCTAGGAATATGAATGATCCTCCCAGGAAATTACCCTCCGTGAAGCATCCGGCTTTCACTTAGGCAAGGGACTAAAGTAAGTCCAAAACAACGTTGTTTTCTGGCCTTCCCATTTCAGAAGCAGGAATCTAGAGCCTGCAGCTTGCACACCGTTGCACTGCTAACGTTTGCATGTGTTCGTGCTACTGGCCTGCGCTGCTTGGATTCTCATTTTGTATCTTTCGCTAGCGCTGGAACATGGCTACCTGTTGAATTGTTGTTTGCTGGGAGGATCTTAAGCCGCGTTACCCTAAATTTCAGGAAAAAAGTTTTTCGTGTTACAAGAATGGAAGCTAAGAATGAATTTTCACTGTTTTTTTGCAACTTTGGCTGTTTGCATGAATTTCAATTCTGGAGAAAAATATGGGTTTTATTTTCTGTATTCTTTTCTCTTTTTTTGGGGACAAATGTCAATAGGAGATAAGCCACCAGTACCTTTACTAGTCACTGTTATCTAGCAAGCCCAGGATCAATAGGAAATTACTGATAGCTTCTGTTAAACGTTTGATAAGAAATCCTAGTCCTTCTAACGCCAACTAATTTCATCCTACCACTGTATTTTTGTACAAAGCAGGAAAACAACAGGAGATCTTTAGGGCTGAATAGGTTGGCATTTGCTGCTAGTCATGATGGTCAAAGCTGCAAGACAGAGAAGAACTGAGCCTTTGTAACACAGGCAAAAGCAAGGGCAAGTTAGAGGAGAATTTCAAGCCTGGAAAGAAAAAGTCACATCTATTGATTTCTGATGTCTGTCCTCTATTAAGACTAATCTTGCTAATTAGCGAAATGATACTCTGCTAATTAGTGGAATTACACTAACTGGGAAAAAAACTAAGTAGTTTTCTTAGGAACTCAGAGTTTAAATTAAATTCGAATGTCTTTTTGTAATCACTGAAGTAAAAGAACAAACCGAAATTCCCATTACCCAGGTAACAGGATTAAAAATAGCCACCCTGATTAGTCAGCTTCCCATGCACCCCCTGCAGCCTCAACTCGAATGCCGATCTGTTCCGTTCAGATCACAGCATGGCCCGGCTTCCCGCTGCTCCGTGTGCACATTCCCCGCCGGAATACCCTGCGTGGAAACGCCGCTTTGCCCAGCTGCTACCCCCCAGCAGCAGGAGCCGGAGCAAGTGACTCACGGCCACGAGGGGACAACGTGGCCCGGCCGGCGCACGGCGCCGCGCGGGCAGAGCCCGTCACGGTGCTCGTGAGGGTTGTCCTTAGGGCCTCGTGCTTCTCCGGGCTTTGCACAGCCAACGTGCCCACTGCGGCGCGGCCGCGGCGCAGAACTTGCACCACGCGATATTCCAGGTTAAATGATGAAAGTTAGATGCTGAAGTGTCTGAGGATGTGAAGTACCAAAAGCAATGAAATCAAAGCTTTTTTTCTACCTTCTTTACCCCCTCGTTCCTTACAAATGAAGCAAAGCCAAAATTAAAGTATTTACACGCATTTCTCCAACGCTGCCATGGTGATGACACGCTGCATTGCGCCGTGTTGCGCAGTAGCTGCTCCCATCTCCTACCTCTTTGCTTGCCGGAGCAGCGTTCTGGTCTGATGCTAGAAATGTTACGTGGGTTGGTAAAGAGCCTGCTGCCTCTTCAGCCATGGTGAATTATTACACAAGGACCAAGCAAAAGCGGCAACTGGGGTTTAACTCCCAACGCTGAGCTACCTTTTCCCTTCGTTTGGTAGGTTTGGATGATGAGCACAGCAGGGCTGTAACCCGGCTGCATAAGCATGAGCACTGGGGAGCAGACTGCAAGCTCATACCGAGCGCTCCAGGAGCAGGAGCGGGAAGACTCGTGGCAACCCAAGGCTTTCTGCTTCCTTTTCAATAACGTCAGCTATTTTGTTAAACGATCATGGGAACAAGAGTGTGCAGGCAAGGACACTCGCAAAATATCTGCGCGCCGTTACTGGAGAGCGTAGCAGTGTGAGGGGTGTTGCAGCCTAGAACTTCGCAGCAAAATGTTGTGGAGTTGTTTTGGGAGGACTCTGGCTCTGAGGGAGGTGAGGCTGCGGTTCAGGAATCCCACTCCGTACAGTGCGGAGCTGTGCTCCACTTGGCCTGGGGATAGCATTTGCAAGGGAATTTTGTCATCCTTGCCCATCTGTCATCTCGACACTCGGCCCGCTGCGCGTTATTCATAGCAGCTGTTTCCTTTACTCCAGTAAGATAGTTTGATTGCAAGACTGGGTCTGACATTTGGAGGCTGATGATACATTGCATGATCTCCCTCGAGCCCCATTGGGAAAGGCTTTTTTTTTCCCAAAATGTTCAGAATAATATATGGACCTTCTACACGTCAGTGATATAGGGCGGATTTGAACCAGAGGTGGAAGGGGGTGGATAGACCATTGTGAGTCTTTTAAAGTGTTCTTTCTTTTTAATATGGCTACAAAGCCAGGTTACTCTGGGACTTGGGAAGGATGCTCTGGGCAATTTTTAAAGTTGCCAGAGAAAGGAGCACTCAGCAGGTTCCTTGACTGGATCTGGAATAGAGAATTATGCCATTTTCATTATTTACTGCCTATTATGGGGACTGATTCTCTCAACTTAGAAACCTGGAATAAAATAAAACAGCCAGCTAGCAGGGGTGACATGCTATTAGTTTCGGTAAAATACAGCCTGCAGAAGATGGTTTGGCTTAGATCCGTATTGACTGCACTAGTGATGATAACACTCACCTGGTGTACAGTCTATGAGGTGTTACAATCAGGGATGTTTCAATTTCCTTCAGAGAAATAGCAATGACTGATGCTCTTTTTGTTTCTATTAAAGCCAGCAGCCCCAGCAGCCTGTCAAAAATTTTCAAATAGCCATCCTGATTCCTCCATGTTGAACAGGTTAAATGGTAAGATCCATGCTCAATGATCTACTTTCTTTTCCTAAGAAAATTGCTCTTTCTCCACCATTACGGACAAATGTTAACAAAGCTAATAATTTTAATATGGGTCAAGTGAAAATTTTGTCCAAAACAAGAAGAACAATCACCTTGCAAGCCAAATGCTGCAAATACTTGATTATTGTTGTCGTTGCTGTTATAGTCACAAATCATCTGGCATTTTGCAATGTATCTTAGCAAGCATCCAACTAGCTAGAAAAAAACTATCATAAATACAGATGATCTCCTGATTAGGGAATGCAGAATTACAGCCTACGCTGGCCAATTCGGCTGCTTAAAAAACTTGTTTAGGCAAGAAAAGGCTATCGATAAGACTTTTAAGAAAACTTGACCTTTTATCTGCTGTGGAAGCATGTGATGATTTGGAGAATCCCTAGACAAGGCACAAAATCTTTTCCCTATGCATCTCTATCCAGCTTGAGTGATCCATATTCTCAGTAGCTCTGTATCTTTTCTACTGCGCTTTTATAGAAAATCAGGAAGGCAGGAGACTTTAGATGGTAGTTGCAAGAGACCTTCATAGATACATGTAGTCTGCCCTCCTGTTCCAATACAAATTAAATATATCCTCAATATGCATAAAATATATTTGTTCCCCTAGTTATTTAAGAACAAACAAACCGAAGATGGAAACTCAGCTATTCTGTTCCTCCATTATGGACGTGTTCCCTTTCTCTTTGTAGCTGTGTCTTATATATTGTAGGCTGCTATCCAAGTCTGCCTTTGATTAAAGAAACCATTTCCTCACAAGCTGTGTGTTCGGAGCCTTGGATCATTCTTATGGGCCCTTGCATCGGTCTTATCATGAAATGCCCTTCTCTGAACTTGCCAATACTCCACCAGAAACCCTAGCAGTGCTGAGTGTGCTAGAGGGATTAAATCATATGTCTTGCAAACTGTATTTTTGCTTATGAAGTCCCAAAGGTCCTCACCTTTATTGCAATTCTGGGACATTGCTGACTCCTGTTAAGCTTGTTACTCGCAGAAATTGCTCAATCTCTTCATGCATCAGGAGCTGGAAATCCAATGGGCAGCAGCACAGACCTAGGAAGGAAGCAACCTACAGAAATTGCTCAATCTCTTTATGCATCAGCTGGAAATCCAATGGGCACAGCACAGACCTAGGAAGGAAGCAACCTGGGCAACAAATGGCCTGTGAAGATGTTTGTCCTGTCTGCCCAGGGGCAAATCCAGAGGGTAGGTAAAGATGTGTGTCTCCTTGGTCTGCTGTTCTGTGCATTGCCCCACGCCTGCCACAGGGCCTGGTGCTTGTTGCTGCGGTCACAGGCTCAGAGAAGACAAGTGAGGGAGATGTGAGAAGAGTTTAGGGAAGCTTCAGAAGCAGGATAAAGGAGGAACAAGGAACATGCATAGAAGCAAAGCTGCCTGTTGTCTTCTCGACTATCCTCTCCCTTGATCATACTGTGATAATCTTCTATTTCAACTCATAATTTGCAGACAACATTCAGCTCTGACCAAGGAGAACAGCTTTGAAGGGAAAGGTTGCCCTTAGTCACCCTGGCATGGGCTGACAGGGGAGTTTTTTGCAAAGAGCTCAGGAGCTTATGGAGGGACTGGAGAGGAATTGTGCTTTGTTTGGCTGTTTTAACCAGTACAGACTGAGCAGAGCTGCCTTCTCTTGAAACCTGATGAAGCCAACACCACCTGAACAGACAGGCCCCTGCTTCAAAAGAACACAATGCAAGAGTGGGAAGCACGTCTGCATCCAGGACAGATGTTGTTTTCTAATAGTCTCTATTGTTTAGGCTCCTCAACACTAGGCTTTACTGAAGGGATAAAGCACCGTTCTTTACAGGCTTCCCTGTTTACAGCTACAGTAAGATTCTTGAAAAGCATGTGTGGTTTGGAGAAGCCACGGTAAAAAAATAAGATTTCAGGATCCTTACCCTTAGTTTCTTACCTTTAGTAAGAGCTGGAATCCAGATCTTTAATTTAAGCAGTAGTGACAGACGCAGTCTCTGTACACCCTTGCTGTACCTGGATCTTGGAAGCAAGAAATGATACCTGCAGAACGTGTTCTTCAAACCTGGAAGCAGTCAGTGACAAGGCCAGGAGCTTGAGCAGGTATAATCCCAGCAGTACCACAGCAGCAATGGCAGGGAGTCCTTTGTGTCGAGCCTAGGGTAGCTTCTCTACTGCCTACATTTGATCTAACCTGGAATGCATTTTTTGTTGTTGTTTTAATGAACACTTGTCACACATTAAATGGCTATTTGCTCCACAAATGGTCCTAGAAGCATTCAGATTTGGGAGAATACCTAAAATACCTGGGAGGTAAGTCTTTTAAAATGGAACATTGGCAGGAAAGCATAGCATGGCAGAATTCATAGTGGTGAAGCTGCCGAAAGCCAGCTGTCCAGCTTTACCTTCACACTCCTGCAAAAGGGGCCTGACTGCCTAAGGAGTTGGCAGGGTGAAGTCTACAAGAAAAAAAAAGAAAAAAGAAAAAAAGAAAAAGCACTGCTCATAGTCTGCGTATTTACATTTAGATGAGCTGCCTTCTGGAAAGGAAATTGTTCTGCTGTCTCGGTGTTGCTTGGAGCCACTTTTTTAGAAATCGAGGTTTAGCTGTATTTTGCATCTTGCTGCTTGATGCTGAGCTGCTGTTGAGTCACCCGCTTGCTTACGTCTGGTTGCGTATGCCAGGTTCCCCTGCTAATCCGTGAAAAGACTGAAATCTTTGAAGCCTAGAGTATAAGCGGGGGCATCAGTTCTTTTCCTCTGGAGTAAGCATGAAGATTGTTAGAAGTATTTTGCCTTTGGATCTTTCAGAATAAAGCAAAGAAAGCAGCAATCCTGCACAGGATTAGCTTCTCCACTTCCCTAGGGAAACAGCATGCCGTAGCAAACATTCTTTCACTGCTGCAGCTGCACAGATGGGGACAGTTTGTAGTAAGGACAGCTGTTACTGTCAGAACGTTTCCTGACACTGTCTTTGGCCAATGTATCAATATCAGAAAGGGAAAGTTATAGTCAGGGCAGGCACCTGAAGCACAGGACAAAACATGCATGCCCGCGCACAACCATTTTAACAGAGGCTCACTCTCCTGACAGTGCTGTGCAGTCACAAGATGGACTTTCTTGAGGTATTAAGAGCTATGGAAAAAAGCACAGGACAATAACAGTACTTCAGCATTGCCAAATCGTGTATGTGGAGGCTTCTGGAACAGCACAGTGGGAGAGCAAACGCTCTCTGTTCTAAATAGCAAGAAGTAGCCACTTATTTGTAAAGCCCGGATGGCAACGGTTATTAAATGAAAACCGCGGTTACACCTCA